CATCAAAATATTATTAAACCAGTTAGTGTGCCAAAAATGTACATACTTTCCGTCACATGTCAATCAAACTGTGACTTTGAAATGTCACTACCTATTAAACTCCATAAATTGACTTTAACATGTTTTTCCAAAATCATACTGCATCTGTGAAGCTCTAGCTCAAATTAAAAACCTGTAAAAACACAACATATTAAAAACCTACCTTGAATTAGCATGTAGTATGGATTTTACCTTTATTATCTTTTCAGCTATTATAGCTATTGCTCCTGCTATTCCTTGCCTCACTCCGTGTGCACCAGAGGATTCCCCTCAGGAAAAGACTGACGTACAGAATGTACTTTGAATCTGGAAAACGTCACCAGTTCAACAATTCCTCATTTAAAAAGTGAAAGCAATAACTTGATGTGCAGAGCAGTTGTTGCTGTTTAGTTGGATGAGCAGATTTTTCACATGCAAAGTAAATATTGACACAATAGCTGCAGTGGCCTGAGCATGTCAGACACACTGACCAGCCGAGTGTCAGCAGTGACGCTCAGGAGCAGATGTCCACTGTGATATACAGACCAGACAGCAGAATGAGGATGGCCCATCTGTTACTGTTAGTATCAGTGTCCTGTCAGGGGTCCTCACTCTGTTCTTCAGGGCTTCTTCTTTTTCATTTTGCCTAGTTTTTCTTCTTTATTTTGTTCTGGTTCATATATGCTCTTAGCATTTGAATCATTTTCAATCACAGCAGGAGAGTGTGGTGACACGAGGCTGGATTCAAACTGAGGACGTTGCAATTATGTGGTATGTGCCTCAACCACTCAGCTATCGAGACGCCCAGGATTACTTTCTGATGTCACAGATTTCCATAACACAATAATACTTCAGCTTGTAAGTATGAAATCAAAGTTTTCATATTTTCCACTCCAAATAGTATTCAGGATATCTAAATAAATAAAATTATTTTAGTTAGTAAGTGAATTATGATAGCAAATACTTACTGCCATCACCAGATGGACTGAAAGTTGAGCCTCAAAAAAGCTCAAGCTTCATTAATAGAAAAGGCAAAAAGCACAACATTACTGACCACATCAGACAAACTACACAAATCTTTACCACTTTAAATGTGTACACTCGAGATGTTGTGGTACACTTCCACAAAGTTAGGTGGATTGCAAGAGACAGATTAGAAGAGTGGTCAAGGCTGAAATACCCTGACTTTTAGTCCCTGGTATGAGTCAAGCTCCAAAAGCACTTGAGCCTTTAATTATCTTAAATTAATGCAGCTTGATAGAATCTTTTATTCCACCCACACTACCTAATAAAAGACAGCGTCTTTTAAATTTAAACTCCACACCCCCAGTTTGTAACGCAGGCTTTCTGTTAAAAATGTCTGCCTCCAAGCTCATGCCAAGATAATCTTGATGACAATAGAAGACATTATACAACTGTTTTTAACTTTACAAAGAAAACATTGTTGTTATGTGTTAGACATGGATTTTCCTGTTTGTTGTGGGATCTCTGCAGTTACTGTTTGTTTTAGCAGTGGAATATTTAGTCTTCTTTGAACTGCAGCCTGAGTGTGTGTGAGTGTGGAGTAGCAGCTCTGAGCCTGTGGGTGAAGCTGCTCAAGCCCACGCAACCCACCTACTCACTGCAGAGGACAGCACACATCAGCAGCTGGAGAAACACCACACCAAAAACACAGAAAAATCACAGGACAGTGAGCGGGGTAGTGTAGCCTGCCGTACAGCTTGTAATTCATCTGTTTTCTGTGTGTGTGTTAATGTATATACACACATCATACACATCCATTATAACTCCTTTCATCTCAATTTCACTTAAGTGGAACAACTCAAAGTAAACTCCAGCTCTTCAGAGAATATAATTGTTGTAGTTTTGGAGGAAAACAAGACTTTTTTCTTCCTCGAATCTTGGCCTATAGTGTTTGTATTTTTTATTTCAACATTTAATTTAGGAAATTTGACAGAGCTCATTTGTTCAACAGAGATGGTTTTCCCATACATTTAGTAATGTATCATACAGTACTATATAAAGTGTATATATGGTGTTTTCTATATATGACATACATAGTATCTAATAAGAAAAATATATTATGTTATATTGTGTGACATGTTCTTGAACAGTAATTAGAAAATAAATAAGTTGACATGTATTGCAAGAAGATAATTCATACATATTTTCTTACATTTAGATATATTTTGTAATAAATGACATGTATTTTGTAATATCTGACTTAGCACTGACATTAATGCAGTTATATACACTATCACCTCCAAAATAGCTTTTGAGTGAAATTGTTGGTTTTGGCAAACTTCACACATTTTTAGCATTTCTGTACTTTGTTATATGACTGAGCATGCTTTTACAATAAAATCACATTCACACCTAGGAGCTACATTGGTACAAAAAGAGATTTCTTGAACCACGCTCACACAGCAGGTGTGTGTGTGTGTGGGGGGGGGGGGGGGGGGGTTGGACTGGAAACCTTTTTATGGTATCAGTGCCGTCCAATTTCCAGTCACTGGACAGCTCTCTGTGTCTGTAGATTTTATCATAACCTGAGTGAGTCAGGCAGGATGTTGTCCTCTGTGGATGATGAGTCACTGCTCAAAGTTACTTTACTGTCTTTGTGAGATGTCCTGGCAAAGTCTGAAATTACCACCCGCCAAGCACCAAATGCTGGAAAATGTAGTCTTTTGCAGAAAATTGGGTCAGAATAACAAGGCAGGAAGGCTGGTAACTTATTTGTTCTTGAAGTATCAAAATCTCTGTTACACAGTAAACTAAATGTCATTTGTTAACCAGCAAGTCTAACGTGAACATTATTTGCAAATGTGTATTTGTTTTTTTTTCCTAAACAAATGTGAATTACTATAACCTTTGTTAGTATAGATTACCTTATATTTGGCAGGTTTTTCTTACAGACTAATAGCAGTGAACCAAACATAAACTGGTTCTACAAATGTTTGGAGCTAACTAGCGTGGCCGGTACTGTTGGTACACCGAATGAATAATTACTTCGTAATGTCATCAGTTAATGTGTGAGTTACTTACCCCAACACTGATTTTGACAGTTTGACACAGAGGTAATAAAGTCACCATTATGTCTGTCTTTCTTTTGTTTCCGTCAGATCTTTTTTCTTTGTTTGTTTCCTCATTTTTTTCTGTAGCTCTTTTTCTCCCTGTAACACACACACACACACACACACACACACATACACACACATACACACACACACACACACACACACACACACACACACACACACAAACACACACGGGCTGCACAATACGAATTACAATTGGATGGGGGGAGGATTTCACTGTGGGGGAGGCTAAATAAATTTTTTTTTCTAAAAAACAGAAAGGGAGCAGGTGTACATAAGGAATTGTGTGTGTGTGTGTGTGTGTGTGTGTGCGTGTGTGTGCGTGCGTGCGTATGTGTGTCTAAAAGGGGGTTCAAAACAGGAGGCGCTACAAAAGCGGGGCAGAAATATGAAAAAGAGAGCACAGAGAGGGAGAGAAAGGGGAGGGGAGTGTGAGGTAATTTATGAGGCATTTTAATACAGTGAGGTTTAATCTCTTCACAGACACTCACAAAGACACCTCCTCCTAACCCAGTTCCACAGTGTCTGCACATAATTATCCCAACATAAGATCCGTTAATATTTTTTGATGTGAGGAAATGGGAAAAGGGTTTGTAGCTTTACGCCTCCTTCATATTTTAACCTCAGCTGGTCAGAAATATGTTTAAATATTACATTTCAATAGAGTAGAAACTAACCAATCTACCAATTATTTTCTCAATTATCTATTATTATTTATATTATTATATTATTATTATCTATTATTATGTTATATTATTATTATCCATAAAATGTCAGAAAACTGAGAAATACCTCACAGCTTCTCAGAGCTTGAGGTTTTCAAATGTCTTGTTTTGTGCAATCAGCAGCAATTTGTGCAATTTGTGATTGACGGGGTGATGAATTACTTGTTGAATCATGGCAACTCTACATTTCAGCACATCATGTTAAAGAAATAGTTTATTGAAATTGTAAAACTGCTCTTACAATAATAATTTTTACAAATAAAAATACATACCAAACGTGACAGTAATGTGGAAACAGCTTGTCAAATGTGAAGATTTCGCACTAATGTATCAGTGTGAAAAAATCCTTTGTGTTTGGGTTTTCTGATTGTTGGTGGGAGGAAATTGTGTACGATCACAAGTATTATTTTAGACAATCAATAGATGAAACAGATAATTATTTGGAAAATTATAATCACTAGTGTAATTGATTTTAAAAGTCATAATAAAAAATTAAAATAAGTAAATCCCACCAACTTTGTATTTGAAACTCATTGTCCTTTCTTCCTCTGTCTTTCACCAGTCTATTTTAGATTCTAGTGTTCTTAATTTTATATTTATATATGAATATAATATTATATAATACAATATTAGAAATATATATTATATTATTTTGTGTTTTGGTTTTACAGTCAGCAGTTTGACAAGCAGTTAGAAAAACACACATTAGAAACTTAATTCTTATGGTCTGAATCTCATGAGCTCATTTTATCAGAGCAGCTGATACGATTCTCACGTATCTTTTGGCATACATTTGTACATTTATGTGTGTTTATGGTAATACATCCAAGGTGCTGTGTAGAGACATAGATTCACTGATTAAGTAGTTAATTATTCTCCTTAATGACCATATTATTATAATCGTCTAGATTGCTACTCAATTTCATTGTACTTGACAATAAAGGAATCTTGAATCTTGAACAGGGTGCGTTTAATGTAGCATGGTGATTATGGTTGAACATTTGGTAATTTATGATAATTTAAGTATGTTTTGTTTTCGATATTTGCCGATATTGTTATATTGTAATACATTTGAATAATTCCTAATTTAAAAAAAAAGAAGAGTCTCACCTCTGTCTCACCTCTCCCTCTGTGTTCCTCCCTCCTCTCATCCATCCAGGAGGGCCAGCAGCTGATCCAGGAGAAGCCAGAGCTCAGCCCTGTGGTTCGTAAAAAGCTGGAGGAGATCAGGGAGTGCTGGCAGGATCTGGAGAGCACCACCCAGGCCAAAGCCCGCCAGCTCTTCGAGGCCAACAAAGCCGACCTGCTGGTACAAAGCTACGAAAGCCTGGACCAGAGACTGGGACAGCTGGAGGGTCAACTGGCCTACGTGGACCAGGGACAAGATCTCACCACTGTCAACAAGCAGCTCAAAAAACTACAGGTACATAGGATTTAAAAACATTAAAGAAAACCCTCTGGTTAAAACTCTAACCTCTAGCTTACTGATTCTCAAACTTTTTGAGTTATGATTATGCTATTGTGGGGTGACCTGATAGCCAAATGGTTAGGGCACAGCAAGTCCCCAGTTCAACTCCCGACCGGCTGGACTGTTTGCTGCATGTCATTCTTCAACTCTACTCTTCTCCACATTTCCTGTACGTCTCCACTGTTGCTTTCCAATAAAGGTATAAATTACCCATAAAACAATGATTATGCAATTATGGCTTCATATGGAGAGTGTTGACAATTAAACCAAAAAAGTCATTTTCAGAGGAGGCCCAGAAGCTCAGTATTTCACTGGAAAACAAGACAATAGGGATATTTCAAAATTTGTATAACAGAAATATGCTTTTTTTCTATCCTATAAGTTAGTCAGCTCTTGACTACAAGTGTCTTTAATTATTTATTACATTACAAAGATACAGAATATTACAGTAATATTTACATGTAAGTGTACAGGAAATTAATTTAATGGCATGTTTTAATCATACCAACCAAAAATCACCGTTACTTTCAGGTTCAGTTTTTAAGGTACTTTATTTTTGGGGAGGATTTCAGGTGCCAGTTAAATTTCTGATCTTTTTCTTGTCTGGGTTGTTTCTTTATTTTAGGTCTTTTATCAGTCTAATAAGCAGCCAAAGAGAAAAAAACAACTACAACTACACACACTAAAGTGTTTTAATCAAAATAGGGAATTCATATTTCACTTTATTGACATAGCTCATAAGTTAGAGAGCACTGCTGATTCAACATAACAGTTGTTCCATATGATCGTTGCCGTGTGTGTGTTAATGGACATGAAGCATTATAAAGAAATTTGTGCCTCAATCCAAAACTTAATCAACAAAAAATATATATAAATATATAAATATTAATTAAGAGCTCCAATTGACTCCAACTATTACAATTAATCTATCTATATTCTCCAAACATTTGTTTTCATTAACTTATGTTTTCATTTGGATTTACCAACTCCTCATGTGCACATACAGTAGCAGAGGGCCGATGGAGACACAATATATCTCTTCACATACAGATGGCATCATTGGCTGCAGATGTTCACACTACTCCCCCCCAGACTAGGCCTTTATTTATTATTCTAAACTAAAGTTTACACCAAAGTCTCTTTAGTAGTTAAGTGCGGTCCGAAAGTAAAAATCATATCCTTTTTTTCAACACATGGAAAATCATGAAATTCTTCTGATCATCAGAGTAAATAATGTGCAATACTTTCAATAATGTTACACAAACACTGCAGTTAGAAACGTCCAAACGGCAGGATTAAAATTCTGTCTTCTTTAATGCTAATGGTGAAGATGAAGACCTTGCTCTGAAGTCAGAGGTGAAAATGAACTTTCCATATACAGGATGGTGACAAAACTTTATTTAAACTTTATTTGTTTATACTCTTAACTTAACCCATAACTTAATATTACATAAATATCAGGTTTAATTCCATGGTAGTAAATGTGCTGTTTTCTGTACATGTGATGTTGGGATGTAACTCTTCTCCTCCAACTGTGATGATTTGGAGTCAAATTTTTTACGCAGCAAAAAGCAGGCAGCTTTGACCTGGGCTGACACACAGATTCATCCTTTCATCACCTCATGATTTCACCAGACATCTCTCATTCTCCTCTCCCACAGTATGCCGCTTACAGCTTCCTTTAACAGGCCGCCATTAGCACTGCTTTCCCACATCATCTTTACATCAAACCAAACTCCACTACCCAGCATCCATCCTGACAAGGGGTACAGTAACCTTCACTACACTTCATGTCTGTCGACTATGCTTTTGCTGCTTTGGGTTACTTTCAGTCTCATCTTTCCTTTCATGTCCATCTTTTATCAAATGTTGAAATTTCAAAGAAAATTAGAATAATTCAATTCTTTATTGATACAAAGAATACAGTTATTATTTCAGTTGTGATCTTTCTACCATTTGTACTTAAATGATTTAATTGCAGACATTAAAATAAACTAATAATGAATAGATTATTATTGTGGTTGTGTGATCCTGTGCTTTTGGACAGGCCACAAATGGTGACACTACTTTGTGCAGTGTGACTATACACAATATATAAAACAACATGAAAAAGTTTAATGTTTGAGACTTATAATTTTATGTTGTATTTTATAACATTGTTCTAGTAAGTAAAAAATCTTTGACTTAAAATTTCTCTTAATATAAGAAAAAATTAAAATGTAAGTACAAAAAGTATTAAAACAATTTAAAAACAACTATACATGTGATTTCATAGTCAACTCAGAGCTGCTGTCAAATTAACAACAAACTATTAGTTATTGCGTTTCTGTCTCAATCTTTACATCCCACTCATCTTTATCTTCTCTCCCATGACCACATATTATTCACCTCCACCCAATTTATTCTCTTGTCCTGTCACTTACTTCTTCTCTCCTAATCAACATATCCCCTCTTCCTCCGCCTGTTTTGATAACTTCTACTCTACGCCCGCTCTCCTCCACCATCCTCCTCCTCCTTTTCCTCCCCCTCAGACCATGGAGACCCAGATGGAGGAGTGGTATAAGGAGGTGGGGCAGCTCCAGGTGCAGGCAGCCTCCATCCCACAGCAGACACAGGTCAAGGAGACGGTTGCAGAGCGTCAGGCCGCCGTGGAGGCCAGGATGGTGCGTCTAATCGAGCCGCTGAAGGAGAGACGACGCATCCTGCTGGCATCTAAGGAAGTCCATCAAGTCGGACGAGACCTGGAGGACGAGATTGTGAGTCGGAGGGCTGTCAGTGACACACACACACCCACACACTCATACACACTGTAATGGAAACCTTTAGACAGTATGAAACTTTCACTTCATGTTACAGCCTGAACACTTTATTTTTATTTGCAGACTGTTTAGTCCAACCCAGTAGTTCAACACTGTGGATGCATCCACATTCTTTTAAAAAATCTTGGGATATTTCTTTATCTGAATTTGATTCCACTTGAAAATTCAACTGACATATAATCACAGCAAACAGATACAATAATAATTATTATCAATGACAGTCAAGATATTTCTATGTTTTATTCTCAGTCATTTCTAAAAAATACATTTGAACTTAACAGTCATATAAACAAAAAAGATCAATTTTGAATTAAGTGTAAAGTGAACATGTGGAACTTGACAGGTTTATGTACATTTTTTAAATATCTTTAACAAATATACATTCATTTTATATAATGTTACATATAAGGTACATGCAGTGCAGATATGCACTCTCACAGACTAAAATATTCAATACTGTGGTTGTAGTTGTGGGTCCAGGAGCGTCTCCCGATGGCCATGTCTCAGGAGCACGGCTCCACTTTGCAGGCCGTCCAGCAGCTCATGAAGAAGAATCAGGTAAGAAGATCAAAATAGTTTGTGATTCTAAACACAGACTTTAACTAATGCACAACTAAAGTCTGGCTCCCCCTGTTAAGACTTCATCACCACCCTAATTTCAACCAACCGTGGTCAAGTCACAAACAGATTGAAAGGTAATATGTGACAGATAAACATGATGTGCAACCTCAAGTCCTGATTTAGCTCCATTAACACCTTCTCATGTAACTTATGATGTACTCCCTGTAATATACCGCTGCATCTTCTCATCATTAAAATCAACAGAGAAAACTTTTAAAATGTCTGCTTTCCTGGCCTTGCCCTCTGCGTCTCCTTTAGACACTTCAGAGGGAGCTGCAGGGCCACAGGAGCAGGATCGAGGACGTCTTGGAGAGGGCGGGGATCATCGCCTCCATACGCAGTCCCGAGGCCGACTGTGTCAGGGCCGGCCATGACCAGCTGGCCCACCTGTGGGCTCTGCTCTGGGCTGAGACTGAGAGGAGGCAACTGGTCCTGGACGCCATGTACCAGGCTCAGCAGTACTACTTTGACACGGCTGAAGTAGAGGCATGGCTGAGCGAGCAGGAGCTGCACATGATGAACGAGGAGAAGGGGAAGGTGAGTGTATGATTCTCTGAAGTATGCTGAGCATTTCAGGAAAGAACTAAATAATACATTGCACATTATCTGCTTCAAAATGAGTACATGTAGTTTTTTTATCATTAGGAAATAATTTCCTCATAAAGTTTGAGTCATTAGAAAAACTACTTTGAATGGACACATCTCTGTGAAATGTTTAAACACAAAAACACAAAAATCATCAGTCGTGCTCTGACATTCTTCTCTTTTTGTTGGACCCTAATTTGAGCATGACTCTTTCCTCTTTACACAGACTTTTACATAGAGGCAGGATTGAGCTTTTATCCTGTCTGTGTATGTATATACTGTTTTTTAAAACTGAAACTCTTCCCTGCATGTGCCGTTTCATCCTCCCACTAGGATGAGCCGAGTACACTGCAGCTGCTGAAGAAACACTTGGTCCTGGAACAGACCATCGAGGACTATGCTGAGACCATCGGCCTGCTGTCACAGCAGTGTCGACAGCTGCTGGAGATGGGACATCCTGACTGGTGAGCATGTAAACATGCACACACACACACACACACACACACACACACACACACACACACACAGATAAAACCCACATGATCTAACACAGATTTCTTACCACAAAATAAATTACAGGAATGCTTGTATTTTCCACATCATAACCACAATAGAAAGTACTTAATTTTTCAGTTTTCAGTTCATCTTTCTGCGTATGTTTGACCTGTGAGGACAAATATCAAGATTGACCAAAGATGAAAGAAATGTGATGATATCTTTGGTTGTGGTTCCAAAACAGTGGTTCTACGTCACACGGTGACCGAGGTTCATAGATGGCCGTATGCTGTATGTATGCTAAAAAAAATTGTTTGCAAAGTTGGCTTCTGCTTCCAAGCCAGGACCAGGTCTACATTCTCCTCCTCCTCCTTGGATTTTTTTTCCATACACATAAAAACTACTGTTGCAAGGGCTCGGTTCGTACTTAGCTAAATAAATAGCAGTGCAGATGGATGACCCACGCCAACAACCTTTTATTCCCATCTGCTGACTTGTGCCATAGCCTACGATTCAGGTGTTATCATTGTGCAGTCTGCATACATCAACCCTGATGCCATACCGAAGTTTATTAGATCCATGTCGCATAGTGTGGCCTACAGAAACTTGATTGCTGAAGTTTCACAGCCTGTAGTGGCTTAAGAGAAGCAACAGGGTTACTAATGAAACATACAATAAATGAAATATGAGAAAACCAAACACCAACATTTGCAATTCAGAGCCCCATTTACTTAGTATTGGTCAGGGGTTGTTTGGTGTTTTAATAATACACACACAAACTAGAATTATCACCGTCAAGTTGCAGTTAATTAGCATGTGAATTCTTGAGTCATGGTCAAAAACGTGTTTTGTGAGGTCACAGCGGCCTTGAGCTTTGACCTTTAACCACCAAAATCTAATCAGTTCATCTCTTAGTCCCAGTGAATGTTTGTACCAAATTTTAAGAAATTCTGTGAAGGCTGAGGTATTCCATTCATAAGGCCAAAAACATGTTTTGTAAGGTCACAGTGACCTTGAACTTTGACCATGGGCGTTTTACTTTCAAATTTGGTTCACTTAGGATGAACTGATTAGATTGTGGTGGTCAGAGGTCAAACGTCACTGTGACCTCACAAAACACATTTTTGGCCATGACTTATGAATTCATACACTAATTATAACAATTTAACATAATGTCTAACAGGATAAAATGAAGTGATGACATTTTATATCCAAGAGGTCAAAGGTCAACCTCACTGTGACGTCCTAATTTTGTGCAAAAAAAACTTCTGGCTATTATTCAACTCTGTAACTCAGGACGGGGAGGTTGTGACCATATTTCCTGTAACTTGACGGTTGATGGAGACATACAACCACGAGGCAGTCATTCTAGTTTTTGTACTTGACCTGACACACTTTCTCTTCTCTCTTCGACAGTGAGCAAATCAGCAAGCGTCAGTCACAGATCGACCGTCTGTACGTGTCTCTGAAGGACCTGGTGGAGGAGAGGAAGAGCCGTCTGGAGCAGCAGTACTGGCTCTACCAGCTCAACAGAGAGGTGGATGAGCTGGAGCAGTGGATTGCTCAGAGGGAGGTGGTTGCCAGCTCGCCCGAACTGGGTCAAGACTATGAGCATGTCACAGTAAGTATGTCGTCAGATGGTGTCTGTGGATGAATAATAGATTTAAAAAAACATTTTTATAAGTCACATACTGAAACAACACTGGTCTCTTTTGATTGTTTATTAAGTCAATTAATCATTCATTAACAGCAGCTTATAAATCTGCTCTGTGAATGAGTGACTAATTCGAAAGCATCTGGAGAATAATAGATGTGCAATTACAAACAATATAAAACATGAAATTTCAACATATTTTATTCTGATCTTTTTATATTTCAATTCCTTTCTTACCTCCACCCCTGCTGCACCTCCAGGTCCTGCAGGAGAAGTTCACAGAATTTGCTTCAGAGACGGGCAGTGTGGGACAGGAACGAGTGACAGCTGTCAACCAGATGGTGGACGAGCTCATCGACTATGGCCACTCGGAGGCTGCCACCATTGCCGAATGGAAGGATGGGGTGAACGAGGCCTGGGCCGACCTACTGGAGCTCATGGAGACCAGAGCACAGATGCTTGCCGCCTCACACCAGCTGCACAAGTTCTTCTCCGACTGCAGAGAGGTAAGGTGCCTGAGGAACAAAGCTGACGTGGAATGATACAGTGAAATGCAAGAAGAAACAAGAACACAATAAGCTGTGTCCCAATTCAGGGGCCACATCCTTCAAAGGACACGGTCTACGAAGGTGTGGTCCTTTGCAGATTTCCACTTTGCATCACCAGCTGTGCCCGTCCTTATTGTTGCAGCGCAAAGTGCAGCTCGTCACCGAGCAACTGTGATAACCCATTACTTTTTCACAAAATTTTGAGGTTTTAAGGCCTTTGACCGTTAGCTGTTGAACTGAGCTGAAACCCAATACTTACATTTAAAAGTGTAATCCTCAGGCTCTGTTGGTGTTGTTTGCTGTCATATTATTTTCATTACCAGCATACATTGAATCTTGGGATAGGTTGGGCGATGAAAAGAAGGATGCATTTGAAGGAGTATTCAAAATGGGACAGCCTAGCTGAGACGCAATCAGTCTTAAGATGCAGCCTCTGAAGGATGCGGTCCCTGAATTGGGAAACATTTTTTAGAAGGAACAGTTTCATTTCAACAGATTTTGTCCATGCATCTTCATTGCATATTTAAAGTTTAAGTGTTTTTGGTGAGAATAGAGAATGTAAATGAAATGAAATGAAATAAGAACAGAAGGTATTCTATTGTAAGCAGAAAATTAGTATCATTGATTTTTTTGTTTTTGTTTTTTCTGAGCTGTTTAGAGCGACACACTGTCAACAGACATGTATTTTGGAGTTCATTTTTACGGTTTTGAAAAGATTAGATGAATCAATTTGGCTTCATGTGTGCCTGAAAGATGCTTGTGAAAGATGCTTGTGTACCTGTATACATGGAGCACTACTGCACGGCTTTATGTTTTTTTTTCAGGTCCTGACTCAGATTGAGGACAAACATCGAAGACTGCCAGAAGTTCGGGCTCGGCAGGGCAGCACTGCCAATACCAGCACCCTACAGAGACTGCTGCACAGCTTCGAACAGGACATACAGTTGCTGGTCACGCAGGTACAGACACAAGCGCATGAACAGACAGCATGTAAAATTACCTGCTGCAATAGGAGGGAGGGAAGAATCACAAAGACTTCCCTCAGTGATAATCACTGTAGGATTTTTTTTAATGCTAATATTGATTGCTTTCACATTTACTTATCCAGCGGCTCTTGTTTAGCATGCATGCTCTCTTTAGCACACCATGCCTCACATGCATAGAGACATGAGGTGGAGGTGATCATTTTGAATCAGTAAAATAACAATAATGATTACTACTACTATTTATATTATTTTCATGTGTCTTCATACACAAAAGCCTCAATTTACATGGACTAAATTGTTGTCCCAGTACAATATCCGTTATTGTACTCTATTTTGTTATATTGTGTTCTACTTTACAGTGTAGTGTTATACGTACGATAGAAACTTTGATGTGATTCATTTGTTATCATTATGTTAAATTGGAAATAAAAGTTGAATTGGAAATAAATTGACAGTAAAAAATCTCTGGTTATTTGTGAATCTGAATCTTCATGGAAAAACTGCCTTCTTACTCTGCATTTAATTTTGCTTTGTCTAGTCTGTCATGCACCTGGGGAACAGAAACAGTGGTACATTTTATTGAAGAACGATGCAAAATCACAGCTGCTCTGTGTCAACTCAGAGCCTGTACCTCTTGGCCCTGACTAAACACAGCTGTCAGAGCATCTGTGTTTTCTGCGTCATTTGGAAAACAAACTCTTTCTCTTTTCATTTCCTTTTCCGTTTTTTAATATCTGATTCTTAAAGTCTTCTCTCCCCACTCTTCTAGGTGCGTCAGCTACAGGAGAGTGCAGCCCAGCTAAGGACGGTGTATGCCGGCGAGAAGGCCGAAGCCATCGCGTGCCGTGAGCACGAAGTGATGCAGTGCTGGAAAGAGCTGCTAACATCCTGTGAGGAATGTCGCTTGCAAATCACCACCGAGACAGACAAGCTGAGGTTCTTCGGCATGGTCCGAGATCAGATCATGTGGATGGACTCGATCATCTGTCAGATAGGGACAGGAGAGAAGCCCAGGTATTTTCACCACAGCAGCAGGAAACAAAGACTGTGGTTGACTGTGTCAACCTCAGGGTTAAATCAAGCTGGTAGGAGTGTGTACAGTTTTCACAATCTAAAATGACCTGGACGAGCAGAGTTATAGTTTCAGCATAATTACTCTCAGTTTGTGTCAGACTCAGGGGCAAACTTGTTATTACCAGATAGTATACAGTATCAATGCACTGTATATTATCTGGTAATTACCAATGTAGGAGCAAATATCCAGTCATCCTGCGTTTCAGCATCATGTGGCTTTTGAATTTTAGTTAGATAGGAAAATTTCTGATGAGAGAGAAGAAATTCTCACTCAAAAGTAGGACCTAAGTATTTTATATAAAAGTGCCAAAACCTGATTTCAGCGCAGAATAAGTCTCGTTTTTTAATCCAGTGTAATCTGTGATCTGAACCAACAGCAGGGCTTTCTAAAGCAGCTCACACAGCAATATTTACCACATTTTAGCAGTTTCACATCCCTGTTTTCACATCTTAAATTTACAAAAAGAACAGACTTTTTCTTTATTGTAAATACATCTATATCAAACAATTTTTGACTGAACAGAACAATAATCAATGATGTGATAGTTTTCTAATGATCAGCAACTCTATAAAAAACCCAAAATTTGACTAAAGGTTTCCCTGAGCAACATACCAGTCTAAATATGTGTGCAACACATCTGTGTTTCTGTTAACATTGACTATATCATAGATTACATCGGGATGATAAATTTATTTATTCAAAAATGCAGTAGAGACATAACATTCTGGTGTGGTGTGGCTACGCACGCTACAGTGTGGTAGCCAATAGTCTTAAAAACTATGTGTGCTGGTGAGCTAAGTGTCTGTTGGCTATGTGGTTCCTGCAGGGACGTGTCCTCAGTGGAGGTGCTGATGAATTATCACCAGAGTCTGAAGAGCGAAGTGGAGGCTCGCAACAGGAGCACACTGGAGTGTATCGAGATGGGAAAGACCCTGCTGGCTGCTAGAAACCCTGCGGCTGAAGAGGTGAGACGAGGAAATGTGATGATAAGAATAAACTTCAGTTAATGATTTACAAGGGAAACTGATTCACTGCAGCAGCTATCAGTTCAAAAGAATTAAATTAAAACATTGTTTTTATATAGCATCTCCTTTAAAAAGATGTTGATGAGTAGCCACGGCCCCATGAAATGTGAAAAAAAAATGTGTTTTTGAATTAAGCCTTTAGACTTTTGAGGAAGAATTGACGGCCTCGAAAGTACTATTATTTTAAAACCCAGATGTTTCTTATTCAAGCAACAGACTTCTCAGATGCTGTGTCTAAATTCAGGTACCTCTATACTCACACTTGCTATTTTGAGTGCATAAGTGCATACCCAGATAGTGCGCTCAAAATGGTCAAAATATTTAGTGTAAAATGATCAACACTGCTCATCCTCAATGGTTGCCATCTTGTACAAATACAAAAATGTACCTTCCAGGGTGAAAGCGTGTACAATATACACAATGTGAAAACTGCGATAAGGATTTTGAATTTCAAAAGCATTTCCATCTTAAGATAGAGGAATGGATAGAGTACTTAATAATGTAAAATGGACTTATACTTCTATACCAGTTTTCTAGTCTTACTGACCACTCAAAGCGCTTTACACTACTTGCCACATTCACCCATTCACTCACACATTCATACATCACACTCATACGCACAGTCATACACTGATGGAACTGCCATCAGGGGCAACGTGGGGTTCAGTATCTTGCCCAAGGATACTTCGACATGCAGAAGAGGAGCCAGGGATCAAACCACCAATCTTTTTAATTAGTGGACGACCAGCTCTACCTCCTGAGCCACAGCCGCCCCAGTGATCCCAGTGATCCCAGTGATCCCAGTGATCCCAATGATCCCAGGGATCCCAGTGATACAAATGGAAAAACAAAAATAACATAAAACACAAAGATGTAAATAAGAAAATAGAATAATAAAAGCAAGTACTAAAATCAAGTTACCAAAATCTCAACTAGAAACTGAACTAAAACTAAAAACTAGCGCCACATTCTAGATATATACAACAGTACTGCCTGGAAATATTCTGTACATGTACACAGTGCAAGATATTTTAGCACTGATTTTAAGTATGACTTGTGACGTTGTGATTTTGATTCTCAGATCAAGGAGAAGCTGGACAAGGTGGTTGCTAAGCAACTTGAGCTGTCTGAGAAGTGGGACAGGCACTGGGAAGTCCTACAGCAATGTGAGCACACACACACTCACACACAAACCTCAATGCTTTCATAAACATACACAGATGTACGAACACACAGAGACACAACACATATAGATTATAAATACACATGTATTGTTCAAGTGGAGAATGTGAAATCAAAAAATAGAGAATAAAATGTTATTTTTGTTTCTCCTCTCCTCCCCTCAGTGTTGGAGGTTCACCAGTTTGCACAGGACGCCGTGGTGGCGGAGGCTTGGCTGACCGCTCAGGAGCCGTTTATTAGCAGCAGTGAGCTGGGCGCGAGTGTAGATGAGGTCGAACAGCTGATTCGTCGACATGAAGCCTTCCGCAAAGCTGCCGCCACCTGGGAGGAGCGATTCAGCTCACTGCGACGACTCACCACGGTAATATCGTCACCTCATCATCATCATCATCATCATTGTGTAAATACACACATACACAGTCTGACCAGTGTAAGAGAGTTTCTGCTGATTTGTAAGTTCTGAAAACACTATAATCGTAATCTAACAGTTGAGGATTTCCAATATGGAGAAATATGTATATGAATATCATCCATTCATTTCAGGGTCCCGTGTGACTTTGATTTTAAAGCTGGTTCTATTTTCTTTCCACAGGTAGAGAAGTTGAAAGCAGAGCAAAGTAAACTACCCCCAACCCCTCTGCTGGGTCGTAAAGTCTTCCTGGACCCCCAAGACGCCTGTCCCAGTGCATCCACCCTCCCCCGCCTCCCGATATCCCCTGTTATGAGGCAGACCATCTATGAACAGAATGAAGCTAGCTCTCCTCCCTCACCCTCGCCTGCCACCCCTACACCCTCTCCGTCTTCTGTGGTTCGTCGGCTGGGGTCAACAGTTGCCAACTACACCCCTGTAATGAATGGCTCCAGCTACCGCCACACCCTGGAGGCACGGCAGGGCAGCGTGGTGGGTGTGGCTGCAGGACTAGGCCAGCCCGCACCTTCTTCGATTGCATCTATTGCCACGGCAGCCATGCTAGTCTCAGCCAACCAGGTACGAGAAAACGCCAGCACGGTGAGAGACCAGGCAACGAAGGCAATGAGTCACCTGCAGCCAGTGCAGGCAGCAAGGGAAGTGGAGGTGAAATCATCCCCGTATCTAAGGCAACCTAAAATCAAACACATGGATGACGCAGTGACGCCTCTGCTTGTAGCCAGCAGGCTGGAGAAGGTGAGAGAAAGGGGTAGGGAGAGAGAGATGATGATGGGAGAGATAGGGACAGAGAGAGCAGAGGTGGCGGTGATGGCCGAGGTGGTACTCCAGGAGCCGAGAGAGCGTCTGCACAGCGAGCCCACCAGAGGGCCTCGGGGATCCAGGACTGACCCATTGGGCCACGCTGAGCCCCAGGTCCAGACGCACACTTACCACAGGGACCACAGGATAGAACGGCAGCTGTCCAGCGAGCAGCTGATCCAAGCACGCAGGGACGAGCTGCCTCAGGAGGTGTGGAGGGAACAGGCCGAGAGGCGGGAGAGACGGACACTGGAGAGACAAACGTCCAGCGAGCAGGAGGGCCACGGGAGCCACGAGGGCCGGCGGAGGGAGAGGGACCGACACCGGCTGGAAAGACAGGAATCCAGTGAGCATGACACCGGGAAGGAGCACTCAGACAGACGCTCAGGAGGAGGGTGAGACTGTGTTTGTACTGAGGTGTCTTTTAGGTTGAGTTATTTGTCTTGTGTAATGTGTTGTATAGTTAGTAGTTGATTGTGCAAGAAAAAAACATGAAGATGACTTCCAGCGTGACTGTCTCATTTGCTCATTTTTCCACAGAGAAAAGAGATCCACCCTGGCAGAAATTGTAGAGCAGCTGCAAGAAAGAGAAGCAGCACAGGTCTGGGGCTTTATGTTTTATGTATTATGTCATTCTTTCATTCAGTTTTATTTAAATACTCATTTCGAGTTCGAGTTACATTTTTATAGTTCATTTGGGGGAGGTTTTTAACACAAAAAAATGAAAACAAAACAAAACAAAATTTCACCTATCACCACTATTTTCTTAATGTGTTGTTTTGCATCAGTTTTTTCAGGAGATCACTACATCAATCCATGATGAAGTTTACTCTAGTTTTCTCAAAGTTGAAATTGAAACCTACAATAGCTTGAGAAGCTTTCATCTCAGAAAATGAACAGCAGCATCTACTTGCACCACATATTGTACCTCCTAGGATTTCATCTTAAGAGTTAGCTATGTAAACAGAGAATTAGCTATCTAGACAGAGAAAACTGGGTTCTGTAGAGTATATGTAATATGCAGTGTATGTGAATTGGTTAATAAATCTGGTGGATGAGTCAGTCTGCTTCATTGGAGTGACCCCTGCTAACCTGCTAGTGGGTGGGAATCACAGGGAAAACTTATATACATTACGTGATGAAAAAGAAAGAAAAGAACATCAAACACTTAACAGTGATTCTTACTTTTAAACCGTGAACCAAATTTATACTCGCTCTATCACCCCTCCCCTCCCTCAGGCCCGTGGTGAGGTGCCCCGCCTCCCTAATGGGTTACCAGAGAAGTCTTCCCGTCCCGACCGGCCTCGAGCTCGGGACAGACCCAAACCACGGCGCCGACCACGACCCAAAGAACCAGGAGAGACGACGCGGCGGTCGAGGTCCGCTCCGGCTCAGAGCAGCCCAGCAGTGCCCCAGCCGCCAACACACACCGCACACCATGAGGGCTTCCTTTTCCGCAAGCTGGACATCGAGAGTCTGAAGAAAAGCACCAACAGGTGGGTGTTCAGGGTCATAATGATAATCATAACACATGGAGGAGATGATAGGTGACGTAGAGGGTTAGGATGGACACTGGTGTCATGAGTATCAGACATGTGCATGGTCAAATAGTACTTGAAAATAATGTTGACAATTTCATTTGGCGCTTCAGGAAGGTTACAGGTACAGGTCTGACCTGTACCAGATGGGTGGAGTTTACCACAAAAAAGCTATTAAAATATTGTCAAGTAATTCAAGGACTGAAGTCGAAACACACGAAAACAAAGAAACTAAAAAAGTATTTTCAAATACTGTTTGACTTATGTTGGTTGTAGCACATGTCATTGTACTTGCTGTTTCGCATGACATCACAGCACCGTCAATTTATGGATTCCAAAATGATGACAGGTGCATGACTTTAGCATGCTAAGCTAGCAAGCTAACACACTCCGCTGACACATGTTGAACAGATGCATGACTGACACCAGCTCAGATCATGACACATGGTGCCTCACTGGTTGCCTTGGTGTGTGGGTCGACATGATATTGACAATACTCAGCTAAGCTTTGGACATACTGTATGTTTCTATATCTCACATACATTAACATTTACCTGTTTTGATTCAAAGGATCTTATGACATTTGGATATTTGCCCATTTATTCTACAGTGGAATTAAGAGGCATTTTGTCGGTTTCTATCTGCTTCCAAAGAATCTGAACATTGACAAACTAGCAATTATTTTACTGTTTCCTGTAATTGACAGAAATATACAAGTCGCATAATTAAGACCGGTATCTGGTGGAAAGGTTTAGTTGTGAATGAGTAATATATCACTATTTATTGTGATGCTTGTTGCCTGCTCTCAGCACTGTCAGTGAAGGTGCAGTGCCTGACAGTTGATAGTGGTAGATTACAGTTGATGATTTGTATTGAAAAATAATAGGTCCATCTCAATCCATCATGATTATATTTCTGCCTCACTACATTACATACATACATTACCTACCTAACTGACTTTCTACAGTGTTAATTTATGCAGCAGCACTGCAAGTTTCTAAGCTTGTAGTGTTGTCCACATTTAAGCAGTTATATAATGAAGACACATGAGCGTGCAGAAAATGAAATATTACACTATCCCATTGATAGTGGCACCAGGAGACTATGTTATTCTCATATCAGGCTGCAGCTTCTGAATATTTGATGTACAGTATGTCATCTCTGATCATCAGCATCAGTATTTGAAGACAACAGTTACATGAATTCAAACAGCAGCTCACCGCATGTGAAAACGTCATGCATGATGCTGACGATGCCTCCTGATCTAACACGAGCCCAGAGTAAAACACAGCAGAAGTGGTTGGATGCTGTGGGAGTGAAGGTTGATGGTTAAAGCTAGTGATGGCGCACACTGCTTTGTGACCTGTCGCTTAGCCCCTGCGCACACACGTACACACCTGTACGCACACACTACCTGACCTCTACAGATGACTGGCCTGCTTCCTCCGGAGAGACACAGACGGAAACGTCTCTCTGCACTGTCCCTTATTGGCTGAGCTGACCACACACAGCTAAAAGCTCATCCCCTCCCAGCTAAGGATGAGTCCCACGCACGCGTCCACTCAAGGCAATGGATGAATGTCTCGTATGTACATGCCCTGTTATGTACATAGCAAGGTAAAGCATAATCCTGAATGGCTTAAATCTGCACAAGTGTGAATCTCCAAACAGCTCCTCCTTAGACTTATTGTATGCTCTCTTTTTGATTTGAGTTTGATTGGAGGAGAAGATCTGCAGGATAGACCTTTTCCTCCAGTCAATACTGGGGAAGAGAGGTTAGTCTGTGAGGAAAGATTGAGATTCAACCTGTCTCTGTTACATAGCTACATGACGAGACACTGGGTATGTTTATGTGCACATTAATATTCTGGTATTATTCAGGATATCCAAGTTTTCCTTATGAAAATATACGGTGCGTGTGAACGGTGCCTATTCTTTATCAACTTTAGTTGACTCCAATGACCAACTTATTTTGTTTGGTACAAAAGTTCACATTTAAGTTTCACATCACTTTTGGCTTTGAGCTGTCATTGGTCAGTTTCTAATTAAAGGATTCTTTCATCAGTTTGTCAGAAGAGCTGAAACATCTTCTCAAGGTTTTCTGTCCATATTCTAAGATAATGAAAAATATACTACTGTGAAGGATTGTAAAATCTTAACACTTCATTTTAACAAAGATAAAGGTTTTTGTTAGAATAGAACAACTGCTCCTATGAGACGTATGGTGTCTGTACTCTGTGCAGTCACAAACTCTGTCACACTGTGTGAGATGGGTCTCATAAAATCTTGGTTGTAGTCTGTGTCAGGCGTATGATATCCATGGGCATAGATTTGGGTATGAACAGTAGGGATATGTCCCTACCAGTTTTTAACAATCTCAAACAATCTGGCCATTTTCACTCCACCTGCAGCATTGCCAGGTGTGTGTGTTTCCTGCAGAATGTTAGATATTATAATGAATAAACAGGGGCATGGGGTGTACTCGACGCAGATTTAAGTAGCTGCAGCTCGGCAGTAGTAGCAGGAGAGTCGATGATGAACTGTGTAGAGTCTGAAGCGGTGTGTATGTATTTATAGCTTAAATGTTTCAAAAGTCACAGAACTGAAAACATCTTTATTGGACAAAACTAACTTCAGCTCATACCATATATCATAATATCAGAAAGAAATAAAACACGATACAAGTCTGATTTCAGCAAATACATATTCAATAAAATAGAGCAAGTGCATATAAACAACTGTGTATTTTGGCTGTCCAACAAAAAATGTCTCTACCTCTACACCCTTGACGATATCTATTTTGTAGATATCAGTGGTGCGATAAATGCTTGGTGAATCATAGTGCTATGATGTAAGAACAGTCAGACACATGTCATTAACTGATATTTTCATGTTTTGGGTAGTAGCTAAACTATAAATAAGTTTTGCCCATAGAACCACTGCTATGCATCAGAAGACTCAGAAAAAGAGGAGGACAAGAGTGTGAACCCGGCCGTTACCGGGGAAAGGAGCACAACATGGAAGTTCAATTCTGCAAAAGGAATTTAAGATAAATTATTTTTTTTTTAGCAGTGGCAGCTTCCTAGTGAATTCTGTGTCATTTCATGTTGTACTTTTTGTTTGTAGACGTGGGTCAGAGCAGCAGTCACTTTGTGAAAACTTCTGACACCGTCAGAATTTTTTGTCTTTGGTCACAGTACAATCAAGGACCACCATTTTTGACAACCAGACACATTTCTCTCACAACTGTTAACTTCCATCTGGGGCAGCCCAAAATCACACGGTATTAATCGGCCTCTTGACAACGTCTCTGTGGCCAAGGCGGATGGGACATGTTGTTGTTGAATTCTAATGAAAATAATGGTTGACAAAAATGAAACTTTAAGTCCTCTTTCTAGCTCCTTCCAGACCTTTCAACCATTAAGCAGAGGTCAGAAGTAGAGCTAGAGTTATAAACCAGACAGGTTGATATTGGCTTACTGCAGATTCATCAGTATAAGTGTGTATATGTTCCAATAAGTAACAAGAAATAACAGAACAGAAATGCCAATCTAGGTTTGAGCTAGTTTAGAATCATGTCACCTTTATAAAGGTTGTTCACCAGAGAGCACTGAAAAGTTGTTTCAACTCTAAAATACCCCATTCTTTGAAAAAACAAATATAATGGATCTGTATCAAGATTGTTGCTTATCTTATGTGTTTATATTTGAAAAATTACTATTGGCCAAAATATCGTGGTCAGATTTTTTCAACCTCCCACATACGGATATCAGGCTCAAAAATTCATTGGTCAGCCTATTGTTGGAAGTTACAGAAAAGGCTGTGCAGTAAAAGAAAATTTCTGACACTGGTGCCTCCTAGTAGGATCGTCAAAAAAGACACTTTCCCAAAAAACTTCACTCTCTTATTATGATAGTTTTCTGAGACCTAATTTCCCTTTATCTTCTGTTAAATTCAACCAGGGCAGATCACATGCACCGTTGTGTAAGTTGTGTTTCCATTACACAGAGGTATTTGAAATTGGGATATAAAGCTGCACACAGACAGCTTGCTCTGAATAATACCTATACTTGGGTGTCAGTAGTTAACTGGAATGCTGTGTGCATGTAAACACACTCAGAGGGAAAAGATGCATGACCAGACTTTAAACTGTGTTGTTGCCAAAATGCCATTTAACCAAACTCCTCTTTCTTGTTTCTCCTCTCCTCCTCGGTGCTGCTGGCTGCTCCTCTCGTCTCCTCCAAGGTAAGTCATATATGAGCCCCACACACAGACACACAAAGTGTACGTAGCCTCCCTCCCCACCCGTCCATCTCCCTCCTCCTCCGTCCGTCTGTCTGTTTGTGCGTTCGTCTGTGTTTGTTCAGCAGTGTGTTTCCACCTCCCTTCTTGGCGCCGGTTCATCCCGCCTACCTACCTGTCTGCTCTGGTCAGGTGAGTGAGGTGTTAGCTTAGCAAGAGCGACTCTGCAACTCTACCTGACTCCTCGCATCTCCCCCCAACCACACCACCTCCCCACCTTCCCCGTACTCTCCCCTCCACCTTCCCCTCCTCCTCCACTCTCACTCCCCTCGCCCTCCCGGCCTTCCCACACCACAGCAGGTCATGGGTCAACCTGTACTGCGTGCTAAACAAAGGGGAGATGGGTTTCTACAAGGACGCCAAGAACACCACCACGCCCTACAACAACGAGCCGCTGCTCAACCTCTCCCACTGCCACTGCGACGTCACCAACGGCTACAAGAAGAAGAAGAACGTCTTCACGCTCAAGTGAGGAGCTGTTTTCATTCTTCTGTTTACTGTTTTGTTTCTGTACTTTTTAAACATAGGCGTAAATGTGTGCAGGACTGTTAAATGTCTGGTTCTTCTAGAGTGGATGTTGTTTCGCCTTCCTCCTAAGCGGGGGGCAGTAGTTTGGGATGAAGGGTGGACAATCTGACGATCTTATAACGTGGACGATCTTGCTTTGGCAGATGAGCTACTTTTTAGACAAATCATTACAGATCGTGCCATTAAAAGATGCTTTATTTAGATGTTTAAGTTCAATCACTACTAACCAGCTAATTGTTAACTGCTAAACAGCTAGCACGCTAACTGCAGATGGCAATGGCAGTCCTTGATCTGCTCTACAGGTTGGGCAAGCTTGGCATAGCGCCACATGTAGCAGCTCACCTGAGCGGAGCAAGAACCACTGTTACCAGTTTGCAGTCCCAAGACAGTGTAGTTACAATCCATCCGCTGGACGAGAGACCTGCTGCAGCCAGGGAAACATGAAGCAGGAGTCAGGGCAGAGACTGAACTTTCAAATCAAAACACTTACATATAGCACCTCATAAATAAATAACAGCACTGTCCAAACCAATACTCCATGTCAACTAAGCAAAAGGTGATTGGTTGTGACACAATTTGTAAACAAAAGACAACATTGGCCCAGATTTACGTTGGAACACAACTTCTCTTGGAATCAGTTTTCACTTTTTAGGATTTGGTCACATGAACAGTATAAAAGCACAATTTGGGACCAAATTCAGTCTGAATCGAATCTACTTGATCAGTGGATTTGCTCGTGTGGTGCGTTCATGTTTTGTTCAACCCTGGGAATCTTTGACAGATGAATTTACGTGTTCCACCAAAACCAACTTGTCGTAAAGTTTCTCTTCAGACATGTTTTTAAGTATGTAAAAATCCTCTGCTATGATTAATATCTTGTTCAACGTGGTTTTCCCACATAAAAAGTGAAATAAAAAGTAAAACTGGGGCTGGAATCAAATCTACTCTTACCTCCTCATTAATAAATTCTGGATCAGGCCTTGTGCCCCGCCCACCACCGCTGCTTACACTAGGTTGACAGGTGAAACAGTAGTGCGTGTCAAGATGAGCTGTGGCGCTCTAATGAAAGGTGTTACTGAGTTGCATCAAGGGAAATTTAGGGTCAAGTGTTTAGGGAGCTTAGCTCAAAGTCAGGCTATCACGGCCTCTGTTGCTTCGATTTTGACCATTCTTTTTTCAAATGTGTGTCTTGTAAGTTGTCCAACTTGATTTAATTACAGTAATTGCAAACACTATTGGAGCCAGGTCTATCCTAAAAACAAATATTTATACTATATTTAGCACTACACTGTTTTTTCCTCTCCTCTTGTTGCAGAACGAAGGACGGCAGCGAGTTTTTGTTTCATGCTAAAGATGAGGTGAGACGTTTCTGTATTTCTGTTCACATCTCAGAACAATGAAAGGAGTTGTAACATTGGATTTATTTCAATGATCACTCAGACACTAACATATAAATAATAAATAACTAATCAGCTGACATCTGTGATCCCTCGCCTCCCCCCCTCTCCCTCTAGGAGGACCTCAAAGCGTGGGTGAACAACATCACCGCCAGTATTACAGAGCACGAGGAGATTGCCAAATGGGGTCAGCCCCAACCAACTACCTCATCCACCGACGAGGGTACGCGCCGCGACGGCAGCAAGGCGGACAACAGGTCAGAGCGAGGCGGCGAGCGCTCAGACCGGGCCGAGCGAATCGAGAGGGCAGACAAAGAAAGGGAGAAAGAGAGGGAGAAGGAGAAGGAGAGGGAGAGAGGCGAACGGTCGGAGAGGTCGGATCGCGGTGGGAAGTCGGACGCGAAGCGCTCAGAAAAGTCCGGTAAGAAAAAGTGAGCTGGTCGACAGATCGGTCGGGATCGAAGAGTATGAACTCCGGGTGGGAGGCGGGGCTGTAGACTGGTAGTGAACGCCTCCCTCCTTCTCTCCACCTCCAACACTTTCAACTAAGAGGTTGTGTTTGGATGGAAAATGACACACAGGACAGAAGGATTGACCCAGGCTCACTCATAGGACGGACAGGACGAAATTTGGAGCAGGAGACATATTTCTCCCTCTCTCTCTGTCTCTCTCTCCTCTGTGTCTCTGTGAGAACACACAGAGTCACTGACGCCCCCTGGTGGCTGTTTCAGAAAACTGCCAAGGGTGGAGTTTTGTGCTGCTGAACCCCGGGCAGCGTTAACGCGAGAGAGAGACGGGACACGTATCACGTTAACTTGAAGGCTGTTACTGATTGCTGGTAGTGCGATAAAACGTAGCTCATACTGTTCCACATACTGTTTGTTTTTTCTATGAGATGAGCTCTATCTGTATGTACTTCTCGTCTGTCTGTCCTATCTACTGTATCTATCTGTCTGTCTGTAAGTTGAGACATCCTACGCTAGGTCTTATTACTCCTCGGAAATCGAAAGAGAATGAAATTATGCCAAAATGTTTTACAGACATACAAACTTAGAGAAACTTTTTTGCTAACTGTTCTCCACTTTGTCCCATCTGTCTCGAGGTCTGCCCATGACAAAACATGGAATTGAAGCTGATTTTACTTTGATACCAAACAACACTGATACCACATTCATCCAAACCCATCACGGATGAATCGACACTGTTGAACAGCTGCTGTGCTGATTTTAGGAAGATGGAAAGATGATGATTTAAGACGAGAGGAGTACAGGGGCGACCGAAGTGAACATCAAAACAAGAGGAAAGCTGAAATTTTTAATTGTTGATCAGAAATTAATTGAAACGCATCCAAAGGCTTGAAATCCTGATTTAAGGAAAGATCAAAACCCTGAAATTAGCTTGAAATGTTCTCGAGTTTAATATTGGAAAGAGCAAACGGAGAAGTTTCCCTTTGTTTGTGTAGGATTTATTAAGGATCAAAGATTTTCTCATGAAGATTTCTGCAGGACAGATGATCAACAAGGTCTTAAATCTGTGACATAAAGACTACTGGATGGCGCGGTCGCTGCAGCCACTTGTCTAATTCATAAAGATAATAAAGACAGATGCACAGTTCTTGGATCAGTGGTCAGAAAGAGATGGTAGACTGTGGTTCCCAGGGGCCTCATTCATTAAAATATTGTTTAATTTTTCTTTTTTAATGTTTAAAAAAAATGATAAAACTGCAAAAAAAAAAGTTCCCTTACGTTCCTACTTTGGGTAACTGAGATTTAAGTTTTAATATATTTGGTAACAACGTTGGTAGAATTCATTTTATCCTACTGATTTTAGCATCAAGATCAGTTTTCCATAAATTACATGTTACATGCTTTCGTCATAAGCACAAAAATCTGCACCTGGCATTGATTTTAATGAGTGAGGCCCTCAGGCTGAAAACAGGCCTCATCCACTCTTTTTTTCTCTTACAACATCGAACCACTCGATGGATTTTCTCTTCGATTAATTCACACAAATCTGTTGCATCCATTTTTATATAGAAATCAAAATATCTTCTGTGTGTGTGTGTGTGTGTGTGTGTACATATCTTTCTAATGTTGTGTGGACAAAAACCATCGTTGCGAGGACGTTTTGGGAAAGTGAACACATTTTGGCCGATCACAACTTTAAAGGGCTGTTTTATGGTTAACACTTGGCTTTAAGGTTTAGAATTAGGCTTTTTGTGATGGTTAAGGTTGGGATAAAAGGAAATTATGTCAACAAGTGTCCTCACAGCTATAGAAAGATCAGTGTGTGTGTGTGAGTGTGAGTGTGATTGTGAGTGTGTGTGAGTGTGAGTGTGTGTGTGTGTGTGTGTGTGTGTGTGTGTGTGTGTGTGTGTGTTGTGTGTTTGCGTGTGCTGCTGCTCTCCGCTCCCAGGGTCTCCATAGCTCTCAGGTTATTTATGTTGGTGTGTGCTTACCGTGTGCTTCACGTGTTAATATGTTTGTCCCCTCAGACGCAACCTCAGTCTTCCAGACATGCCCAATCTACAACAGACCTACTCACACTCACACACACACACACACACACACACACACACACACACACACACACACACACACACACACACACACAGAGAAGTATATAACTCAGCAGGTTTAACATGTTAAATGTTATAAACATGTTGCAGAGTGTAAAATGTCATCATCCCATCAGTGTAGAGTTAGACAGGAATGAATGACTGAACTAGAATGGCACTCAGTAGAACATGTACCTCCGCCAAGGCCAAATATTAACAAAAATGTCCAAAAATGTTGCGTTAGCCTATATTAATGTTATCTTGCAATGTAAAGACAAGTGATGAAAAAATTCTTGGACCCTTTAACTAGACAAGCACCAAAATTTAACGGCTTCTTCCCCTGCCCACATCCATGTCCCTCCACCGAGTCCAGTGCAAGTCGGTTCAGTACTTTTTACATAATAAACACACACGGGTGAAAACATGACCCCTGTGGCGGAGGTAATAAATGACACACAGGTGACAGCCAGGATATCAGACTGACCAAATATTTAAAAAAAAAAGAAAAAAGAAGAGGTTAAACTGTGTAAGTCGTGAGATTGCATGTTTTGCTTGGAGAGAAATCACTCGTCTAAAGAAGCTTGTCTTTGCTGCCCACTGACTCTGCATCCACACACCAGTTTATGTTTGATTTCTTGTAAACTCACCACAAAGCCATAAACAGAGAAACAATAACACAAAAAGAAAACTGAGAATAATCAGCTGTTGGATTTTGTGAAGCACGGGCAGACTACAGTTACTGTCCTGCCCTGGTTGGAGATTCCTGGTCAGATAGCATTTAAAATCCTTTTTTTTTTTTTTTTTTTTTTTTTTTTTTTTTAAATCTTTTAAATAACAATGCTGTCTCAATATCACTGCTACTGTAAGAAAATATTTTTCACTTCAGTTCTAATATTTTTGACTCTTTCAGTTAAAGTCCAGCTGAAATGATCCTGCATGTTTTTGTCTGCTACAGCACACATATCTACCAAAAAGGAGAGATTTATATTTTATATTTTTTTTGGTTTCATGATACATAGTTGAAGAACCTATTTCGATACAGCCAATCAAATTACTCTGTTTTGAACCACATTTGTTTAAAGCAGTAACGTCAGCGCTCTGTCACAGGCGGAGCAGAGCGACACACTGACTAACAGCCAGTCAGCAGCTGGAGCTTATCTCTGTGACCTTGTAGGACTGTCCCTCATGCAGTTGATGAGATTGTCCTAAATGAGGCTCAAGCGCCTCTTGCTCATTTGTGCATAGCTCATAAGCCACAGTGCAAGTTTGTTTATTTTGTCTCTTGTTCTCCTGCCACTGGTTCTGGAGCTAAGCCTGCCATCAAACAAAGACCGACCTCCAGCTGCTGAAACAGAAAAACATTTCTGATATTTCCTTTCTTTCTTTTAATAATACAAACATTGTTGACAATAATAAAACAAAAAAAAATATTTTTGACTGCAAAAAGGAATGACTTGATGTGATTTCAGTTGGACTTTAAACTTACATCATCCTCTATGAGCAGTAATTGCCATGGCTGTAGAGCCCAAAAATCCCACTTTGTTTTATATTTTTAGAAATCTATATTTGCCAGAGTAAAGTTAATCATCCTCTCTGTTCCTGAAGAGTCACACCGAGGTGATGAGCTGTGAAGAGTATTATTATATCTGGCTGTTTCTGTTTATTTTTTAGGTTGTACTTTATCCACATCAGGATTTTAAATTCTCTCTCAACCTGTTGGTTCGGTTTGTGTTTGTTATAAAAACATGTCTTGAGAAGTTGTAACTTTCTTTAATCTTTTTTTTTTTTTTATTTTTTTTTTTTTTTTTTTTTTTTTTTTGACACTTTTTATGCATCTAAATTAGGTGTGAATGCCAGATCAATGCAATCATTTACATGCATGTTGGACACAACAAACAGTCAGAGTTAAAAGAGGTGAATTATGAATGAGAAAAACAAAACAGTGCAGTGGTCTGCTGTCAGATTATGAATCTAATAGCACCTTGTTGCCGTAGATACACACAGGACAGAACATGCAGGGAACAGCTAACATGATAACATCACAAAGTCTGTAATTGAAAGTATGTGAACGTCAGCATCATGATAAAGTGAAGATCAAACCAATGTGTAGATTTGTTTAAAGTCTAAACATGAATGATTTGGATGAGCCGACCCTGCCTGTCTGTGCGCGTCTGTGCTGTTCTGTTCACATCAACCTCAGTCTGTCGGCCGAGATGAATTGACGAATAAAATACCTTTTGATTTGTCATTAATGTATTTATAGTCAGTGTTTTCTTTTCTCAATGGACATGAATGTAGACGTTTGCTGTGGAACGTGTTTCAGTTTGGATCAGTGTTTCCTCCTGCTCTCACTTCAAAACACAACAAAGAAAATTCATCTTTATTTATGGAGATAAAATCTCTATTTTCACTATATGATACCATTAAATCTTTATTTATACTCCAGCAGGCAAAAACACTGATCCAGATTTTTCTTTCAGCCACTTACATAAAGACACCAAAACCACTCAGTAGTATGCAGTAACATGGAGTATGATTTATGAAGATTGTAGAGGGGTGAGTCCAGGAGTTACTGTTGATAATGTTGATGATGATGATGACGATGATGATGATGATGATGATGATGTCAGCAATGATCTGAGACTTTATGCAACTTTTTCTTTGCACTAGGGACACTGGCCTCTTGCAGAGTTGAGGCCTGATGGTCAGTGGTGTTGGGGATCCAGCAGGGACGTCACATCCAGGAAACTCACGAGTACAAGGAGTTATATTTGAGGCTTGTATCAGGGTCAGTTGTTTGTTCATTTTAACTTTAAACAATTGGTGCAAGCCCTATGTGGGTTAACAAAGGTCAGGAAATTCATGCTAGAGCTGAAACAGGTTGATCTACAGTAAATGTTTCTGCAAATAATTTGATTTATTGTTCAAGTCACTTTTATCTGGGTGCAGCTGCCTTGTTCTCTCTCTCTCATAAACTGAACATCTTTAGTTTACGGGTAGTGGCCGAACAAAACTCCATTTCTTTTGTTTAAAATACCTTGTGTTGTTTCCGTTACCAGAAGTGCTGAAAAAGCCACGGCCAGCTCACATCATGCTCATCGCTTGTCACTCAAAACAACTGCTGCTTGTTCCAACGTCCAGACAAGAACAGATGATCAGCCTCAGTCTAGAATACACATACACACATGCACACACACACACACACACACACACATACATACTCTCTGCCTGGATCATATAATAGCAAGACAATATTAAGACTTAGGGCTCAGACGACAGTGAATGCAATCAACCTAAAATTTCTTACTACACTTTTATTTATTTATTTTTTAATCTAGCCTGTATTTATGTGTTTTCTGAGGACAATCATGGGTGGTAAATTTAATCACTCATTAATAAGAACACGTGCAGGGCTCTTGAACTCCAATGCAGACCCAGAACTTCAGGTTTTGAGGCTGACAACAGACTTGTGGAGTAAGGAGAGGCTGATTCTGTGGACATATGGATCTATTGTCGGAAGGTTAATATCTATAAATGCATCTGTTTTCTTACAGAATGATCAGGTTTACTAAAATCACAATAACATATGTTTTTAAATAGGTTTAAGCATTTGTCTTATGTGGGGCTATGTGTTGAACATGTTAGGAGTTTCAGCCTTCTTGTCAGTAAATATAAAGAGAGATACACTCATGAACACAAATCTTGACAAAACTGCACAAGATTACAGACATAGAAACTGCTCATTTCTGCTTTAAAACAAAGAAAGCACAATATTTTTTATATGAAGTTACATTTAATCTAATGAACACTCATGAGCTTCTGTTTATCTCTTTCCACTTGCCGCCATCCTTGATTATCATATTTGTCCACAGCTTTACAGTAAATTCAGGCAGCACTTTACAGTTAACTTAGGCAGATTAGATTGATTATGTTGTGCAGTTGGCATCATCTTTTTGACTTGAGATGATTTTAGCGGCTACAAAGATCTGGGCTAAATAGTCTCAGCATAGCGTGCTCTCAACATTAGGACAATTCTAGCAACATCAGATTGAGTTCTGACATTTCACTTAAACTCACTTTTCTGCATTAAACAAGCCCAATCCTTTTGTGCTCCACACAATTATTTCCAAATGTTTCTCCAGCTAAAGTTATTACACCAGCCACAGATAATCCAGTGCTGATGAGTGAATCCTGAATATTTTGCTGCAACAGTTTCTTTCTTCCCAGGACCCCAGAGCACCACTGTCTATCTGCCCTCAGCCTGTCTGTCTCTCTGTATGCTTGCCTACTGCAATCTGATAATGTACCAATGTATTTGCTCAGAAGTGTTTTCTGTAAAAAAAACAAACAAAAAAACAAAACAAAACAAAACAAAACAAAAAAACAGATGAAGAAGAAAATAAGTTGAAAATAATTTTATCCATGGTGACACTGAGAAAACTGCCCCTTGTCTTTGTTATGTTGAACTTTTTTTGAGTCTGTGTTGAAGTGAGATTGTTGATTTGTACCAAAAACCGGGTTGAAAATGATCCACAGATCCTCCACACAAACACATCAGGACAAAGAGGTTGCATGAATGACATAGTCTCTATTATGGTACTGCTGTGCATGTCTTGAAGTCCCATCCTTCCACTATACAATCACTGTAACATACCGGGGCGACACAAACTACCAACATGGAAAAAGGTGAATGAATGAACCAGTAATATATAAAATGATGAGAACCAACTGCGAATCATTGACTCTGTACAGTCGTTTCTTTGAATTGATAAATACAAATTGTGATATTGAAAGACAGTGTTTGTGTGTGTATTTTTGTAAAGCAGATAAGTGAAGTCTGTGGCCTTACAGGAGGCCACAAAGTGAGGACCAGTCTAATCTCTTGTATTTCATTTCATATAGGTAACACACTGAATGTAAAGGGGCTGTTATTCAAAGTTCATTTGTAAGGCCTGATATGGCGTACAATGTCTCAATGGGATTTACAGGCACACATCAGCAGCCCAGTTCAGGACAAGAAAAAAAATCAAAATAATATAAAATGACCAAAACATGCTTTTTTTGGTGGTACAATCTTTATCTAGGCATATTTACGAACAAAACTCTTCCTTGCTTTTTTAGGACCATATTTAACCAAGGCATGAGTTCCTGTCTGTTCTTTTTGGAGTCCTTGACATAAACAATATAGCCATAAACAGCCACACTTATTATAAAGTTAACTCTACTAAACTGTAGCATACTGTAGGAACTGTAGGGAGTGGGAGAGTCTTATATAGTTAAACTTCTTAAATTAACCAGATTTTTAAGTAAGGGTGAAGGAGTCCAAGGAGTTGTAATTTTAAATGAGGAAATTGAATTTTGGGGAAAAACAATCAAACAAAGTATTTGATTAATAATTTGTGTTTGATATACACTTAGTATCTAAACGTCTTGAAGCTAGAGTTTGAAATTGGGTCCCTGGGGGCAGAAAATCAACTAATAATGCAGGACCTACCTTTGTTGTTAATGTACTTTCGTGATGCAAATAATTTCATACGTTTGTCACTAATCAGATTTCCAAACCCAGTGGAGTGGATGAACCTGGGGCCCTTAAGGCCCCTCAGGTTTTGGGGCACCTGAACAGTTGCCCATTCTGCCCGATTGGTAATCCAGCCTTGACCACAGCCCCAAAGATAGAATCTGTATTTTACTCGGGAAGTTCAGTGTTAACACGTAAAAATGTCTTTCTTCAAAGTCAGCTCATATAGGCTACACATATAACAAAATCTGTATTTTTAAGGGTAATTATGAAGCTTCTTTGTTCACACCATATTGTAGTTGTTATGGCCCTTTGTCTTTAGTAGAGTGTCAGGAGCTTTTACTATGAAATATACAGTAGTCTGTATTATATTTTCTCACTGGAAATGAATGTTGAACATTGTTGTTGAAAATGTTTCGGTTTGGGTCAACGTTTCCTCTGTTCTCAGATCAAAATACAATAAAAATCTACTTTGAAGCCAGAAATAATAATAAAATAATAATAATAAAATTCATTATTTATTGAGATGTAAAATATCTATATTATATTGTATTATATTATAAATATATATATTATACCATTTGTTATTTAAGAATCAAAAAACAATATCAGTGTTTTTAAAGGCATTTATGAAGCCCTATCTTCACACCATTTATCGTTTATTGATTTTAGCAGGGTGTCTAGAGCTTTTATTGTGAAACGTAGACGTGACACCGGAAACGGATATGCGACACGGAATCTTTTCAGAGTTGCACAGTCCACCATATAGGCCAGTAAACGTTACGTGAACACGGAAGATGTGGTCTTGTTGCGTTTAAAATACGTCTCTATCTTGAGTTTAAGTTGCTGTTTACGATTAAAGATGTCGTACGAGCTGGCCGACACCGCGGGCTGAGCTTTAAACTGAAGTAAAATGGAGGCAAGGTTCGGCAGCGAAGTAGCGTCGGTCGTGGAAGTCGCCATCCAGGCGGCAGTGTCTGTGTTCAGGGATGTCTGGGAGAAAGAGGCGCCAAACACGGAGTGGGAAGAAACGAAGTTCGTTGACATCCAGGAGATAGAGAAGTGTCTTGTAGTTCAGATCCACAAAGTGTTCACGGAGTTCTCCTCGGAGCTGTTCGAGGAGAATGAGGCTCTGCGAGCCAAAGTGGAGCAGCTGGAGGATGTGCTGCAGAGGAAAGCCGGGCAGCTGGAGCAGGAGCTGGAGGCCAGAGTGGGTCAGCTTGGCAAGGAGATGGAGCAGCTGGAGAAGGAGCTGAGGAGCATCAGTGAAGGCAGCAACAAGACTCAGGGAGGTCCGACCCACATCCTGCTGCAGGACGGCTCACTGATAGGTGAGGGGCAGTCAACAATCAACCAATCAATCACTCCATTGGTGAACACATGAAACTCATCTGACAGTCAGACTTTAAAGATGAGTTTAAAAGCATGACCTAGAATAAAGAGATTGACCTTTAAACTATGTGTGCAGATATGAAGCAAATGCCATTTTGGCTGCTTCTAACAAGTAATTCCACTTTGAGCTGCAATGATTAGTTGATTAATAATTTAGTCAATCAGCAGAAAAATAATCAGTAGCTATTGTTATGATAGATTAATCATTTTGAAAACAAAAATGCCAAACATTCACTAGTTCCAGCTTGTTGTTTGTGAAGATTTGCGTCATTATAGATTCAGTGTCTTTGGATGTTGGATCAGTGGTCGAACTTTGGGCTTTGGGAAACTGACGGGTATTTTACAGATCAGATGATTAATCAGAAGAATAATTGGCAGATTATTCAGTAGTTGACCATTATTTATTAACATGTCAGTTGTCGATTTAATGTGGATTAATTGTTGAGTCTATAAAATGTTGAGAATTGTAAAAAATATCCTTTACAATTTCCAAGTGACATCTTCAGTTTGTTTACTTTGTCTGAAAACCCAAACATATTTAATGTACAATGATATAAAACAAAGCGATGTGGCATTTGAAAAACTGGAAGGTTAATTAGTTTTCGCATGGATTAGTTATTGATTTAATGAGCTGTTGCACATTAATTAATGAAATGAGTTTTATGTGACATTATGTCTCTGTCTTTCTTACAGCAGGAGCACCAGTGCTGTCAGTGTCCACCAGTCAATCTGCCCCAAACTGTGCTCAAAGCACCTCAGACCCTCCACCAGGTTCAGCAGAGAGTGAAGTCACTCCCAGCTCCACAGCTGAGTCTGGGACTCTCCCCAAACCTGCAGGAGCCCCAATGGTGTTTGTTGGCAGCGTCAGCTCTGCTCCCACAGTGCTGTTGGTGGGTGCTAGCCAAGTTGTCACCCAGCCCCCCACCCCATCGCTGGCTGTCTGTGAAACCACAGGAACAACACAACTCATCCTAAAAACAGCAGGGTCTCCGCCTCAAGACACCCCCAGTCCAGACTCCAGCCCCGGCAGTGGTCTTGACTCAACACAGGAAAAGGTCAGATGTTAATGGAGTTGTATTTGTCTGGAAGCAACCGTGTCATGAAAACCTAATACCTAAACTATGTTACTGTGTTTAAAGTTTTTATTTGTCTTTCTGATTATACTAGTTTGAACCGGACATAGTCCCTGTGTACTTGTCTTTTTTCCCACCCTGGTGTGATACAGTGTGTACGTTCAGGGTAGAAAGGCTGCATGAAAAGTGATGCTGCCTAAAATAAGAAGTGTAATGCAGAGGAAACTGTTATTGTTAGCGTTCTGATTGCATATCATTGGGTACAACCAACTTTATAATTTAAACTCAAATTACTTCCTTGTGCATCATAGAAACCTGTGGCAGAGGCACCTTCATGGAGAACGAGGAGGACAAGGAGAGCACTTTCTAAAATTGAAAAAGGTATGAAGAGATTTCAGACTGTTGCCACACAATGTATGCATTTCATTCCAGTTTGTGAAAGAACTGGAATAGGGAGAGGGTACATCCCTCTTGAAAAAAGTAAATATTTAATCAAAATGTTCAACTAACATTAGACTAATTTAGCTATCTTTTCCCTCCATTTCCAGTTTCCACTGACAACAGCACTGAAGAGAATAAAATCAAGTCAAGCGAAAGGCTAAGAAAGAAAGAGTCACAGACAGTGAAGCGTTTTTTCTGTGAGCAATGTAACGTTGGTTTTCATTGGAAAGGTGAATTGAACAAACACATGAAGGTCCACAAGAAGCCGTTTCCCTGTGACCAGTGCGACAGAAGTTTCCTGGAGAAGAAGTCTCTGGAAAATCATGTCTTGCGTCATGAGGCAAGTAAAGCCCCCCTGCCTTTCCCCTGTCCTCAGTGTAAAAGATCGTACAGGAAAGAGCAGTCGCTGCAGAACCACCTCAAGCGTCACGAGCGGCTGAAACCACCAAAGCCGTTCGCCTGCGATCAGTGCGGGAAAACATTCAGAATTAAGCCGTCTCTGGAAAACCACCTCCTACGCCACGAGAAATGGAAGCAGATGTTGAAGTGTCAGTTTTGTGACAAGACTTGCAAGACGTCCGTCCAGCTGAAATGTCACATGGCCGTACACTCGGAGGAAAGACCGTTCAGCTGTGGAACATGCGGGAAGGAGTTTAAGAGTAAAGACACTCTTCGCTTCCATCGGATAGTTCACACCAACACCAAAAAATACAAATGCACAATGTGCGACGAGACTTTCAAATACGCCCACTCCCTGACGGTGCATAAGAGGAAACACACGGGCGTCACTCCATTCATATGCACCGTGTGCAACAGGTCGTACAGGACCGGCACGGCTCTTAAAAGACACAGCGTAGTCCACACAGGGGAGAAGCCGTTCACCTGTCACATATGTGGAGCGAGGTTCAGCCTGAATAACAACCTCAAGAGACACCTTCGCATTCACACAGGAGAGAAGCCGTTCACCTGTCAGGAGTGCGGCAAGAGCTTCTCGGACAACAACAAGCTCAAGTCCCACATGCTCATCCACGGTGCCAGAAAGCCTTTTATGTGCGACCTGTGTGGAAAGACCTTCCTTTTCAACTGCAGGCTGCTGATACATCAGAGGTACGTGCATGCTGACAGGAATGAGGAGACAGACGGAACACAAAGGTTTTTCCAGACTAGACGTCGAAACAAGACTCTGGTTAAACCATTCAGTTGCAAAATATGTCTGCGAGGTTTCAGTGCTGCATATTCACTCAAACTTCACGAAAGAGGCCACAGTGAGCACAAGGAGTACAACTGCGGCATATGTGGCAAGTCTTTCCATAATAAATACTCCTTTGGCTATCATCAGAGGAGCCACTCAGGGGAGAGGCCCTTTGTTTGTGATGTGTGCGGGAAGAGGTTTTTCCACGCCGGTAGTCTGAAGCAGCACGAGCGGATTCACACGGGTGAAAAACCGTACAAATGCGACCAGTGCGGCAAAGCTTTCAGAACAGATGGAAACTTCTACAGACACTTGCGGATCCACACAGGCGAGAAACCGTTTGAGTGTTTGTACTGTCAGAGGAAGTTCCACCAGTCCAATCAACTTAAGTCTCACCTGCAGGTTCACACCGGGCAGAAGCTCTACTCGTGCCAGCAGTGTGGCCGAGGCTTCTCTGACTCAAGGCAGCTGAAGAAGCACAGCTGTGATGGGTCGTAGGTGATGTGATGTCACCAGTACACTCAGCTGAACGACAAATGGGAGCACTTGTGTTAACCCGATAGTCATAAATGAAGTGGTGGTATGTTGTATTAAGGGAAAAAAATTTACTTCAAAAATTACAAAATATTACTCAGCTGAACAAGAGGGACACTGACAGAAATAACTAATTAGTTTATCATCATTATCTCTTGTTGAGAGCTGGTGCATTGAAATGAAATTCAGCTGTTCTAGTTTTGAAATTATGTTGAGTTCTTTGCAATTATAAAGTAACAATAGAAAAAGATTTTGCTTGTGATAGCTTCACGGTACGATAGGGTGCTTGTTTGTCCCCGTGTTCTTGTAACACTTTAGGGCTCTGCTAACTCTCACTTGTCATTACTCTTGATATATTACAGTTAAGGGACTAAACTAAAGTATCTAATAAAGCACTGTAAAAGCAGTGGCAGGTCTACTCTCATCCAGAGCATTCACAGTAGAGGTTAGCAGCAATGTTTGTGGCATTTATAGTTCTGTTTTTCTCTATTTGCTTCAGCAACCTCAGCTGTTAAACACATTATAAAAGATAGTTAGGACTGTTTACCCTTAAAGGACGTTATGGCCATTTAAAAATGTCAGTTACACATGTGAAACAGAGGTTTTGAGCTAAGATGCCTCTGTAAATATTGTTAAGGTGGTAAATGCTACATAAACTCCCTCTTTCTGTTAGGAATAGATAGGAAGTGAAGCTTTTCTCTTTTACAGATTGAGTTGATATTAAATGAAGATTAAGGTAATTGTTATTTTGAAAGGTTTCTTAAACTGTTTTGTATTATGTTATGAGTTCACAATAATCCAGCAGAATGCCGTCAAGATGTGATTATTTTAGTAAAAAATGTACGTTGTATAATATACAGCTCTATCCAATAAGGCCGTGTGTATACTATTTTTCGTTGTTATTGCAATTAAAGAAAATTTGCAATCAAAGCAACTTTGAGTTTTATTTTGAAATGGGGGCTTTTACATTTAGTGCTACTTCCCTTTCCGGAGTCAATGGCGCCGATTCTGCTGCCGTTTGTCTCCAACGGTTAAAGAGTCAGCAGTGAAGTTTAAAGATAAAATGTCAGAGAACTCGATGTTTTATTTAGAAACTAAGTCCATCATGGAGACTGTCATAAAGACAGCCGCTGATGTTATCGGAAATTTAAAAGAAGAAAATTCCACAAAGGAGCCAAATATGAGACGTAAGGTGAGCGAACGGTGTATGTTATTGATGTAACTGTGAAACGAGACATTTGTGTTGATTAAAGTAGTCCGAGATGTTGTGGTTGGGGGAGATTGGACCGACGGAATAAACTCAAGTAGACGGACAGCTGAACAAAACAAAGATGGCGTAGAGTCAGTTTGTACGATAGCTAGCTAACATTTACAAGATAAAGTTCCGGGTACATAAACTACACACTACACATATATATAAATCAGACTGTAAATAAAAAAAAATAGTGGCGCGGGCTCTTATTACGGGTTTTTAAATTACTTTATTACTATTTTGTATTAATGGCGCCTGACAAATAACACCCCCATTCATTGAGTGAGTTATAGTTTTATCATTCATAGTAGCTGAGACGATGTGTTGATTAATGCATTAGTTGATCAATTTATCGGTAATTGCTGATAATCGATTAACCGTTTACTCATTCTTTAAGCACAAATGAGACTATCGATTCCATTCATCAGTTGAGAGGATTTTCTACCTTTCTTTATCACATTTGATAGTAAACTTAAGTTGTTCAGGTCTTGTACTCCTGGTTGATAAGAACAATCTGAACATGTCACTTTAAGTTCTGGGAAATTCGTTTTTTGTTTTTTTTGGCATTTTATTTGCTATGATTGAAATAATTTTTAGTTGCAACCCTGGCCATAAAAATAATCACAGTTTGTATTATCATGTTAATTGACCCTGTAAATTAAATTCAAGCTGTAAAACTATTCTCTGGTGGATATTGGCTTCACATCCAGTGAACTTGTTTTAAGAAATGATCCATCTGGAAAATGTCTCCTGGCTATTTATCTTAATTTTATTTGACTTTCAACCAGGTTAGCCTGTGCTTAGCAGATGTGGTCATTAGACTGAATACTGTCTACCTGTAAAGAGCCTTATCCTCCTGATTAGTTGTGATTTGATTATTATGCTAGACATATTGTATTATTAATGGACTATATTGGATCATCAGTTGAACCCCTTATAATGCAATAATCAATGTATAGGGTGATGGTTTTCTATTATTCGGTATTTATACCATTACGTTGTATTAAGTTTTTATCCATTTTGGAATGACTTTTTAATTAATTTGACAGATTTTTCATGAGCAGTTGGTACCAACACCAGGTTCATATATCCACTACAAATACATATTCATATCAACATCAGCTACTTTCATCTAATAGCTCTTTTATTTTAATCCTCACAGTCAGACAGCATCATGGAAATGTTGGCACGGGAGGCAACAAGAAAGATCAACGCCATTTTCTCCCAATTGTCATCAGTGCTGCACAATGAAAACAAGACTCTGAAGGACAAAGTGGGACAGGTGGAGAGCGAGTTGAAGACCATGACTGAAAACTTTGAAAATGCCAGAATGTGGAGAGAAAACGTCCTGAACGGCTGCCCCGTCCTGTTTGAGCAGAGTGGGTTGATTTTCACCTTGAAGCCATTTGGGATGCTAAAAAGAAAAACAGATGAAGTATCAGAGGGAGTCACTGATTCATCGCCTGCTGCTGGGACACAGAGTGGACATGATGCTGGTAAGTTTCCATTAAAAGAGAAAACCACACAAAAATAATAACCATAATAAAAGTGTGATGTAAGTGGGGAGTGCTGGATGACATAAGTGTGAGTGTGTTTGTGGTCGAAAAAAAGAAAGCAATATAAAATCTATAATTATAGCAAATGAGAATTAACATGACATCCAAAGTAATACAGTTCATAATTGGCTTCAAAGTGTAATCAGCAAAACTCACACACATAAAATATTGTATATTACAGATTTCTCTGCATTACTTACTATTCATTAACACAGTACAAAGATTCAAGGACTGTAGCACAAAAAACAGAGAATGTAAAAATCAGCTGTAAATTGCAGAATGAAACATGAAGACAAATTACATTTAAGTACAAACAGTGGGAAAAAGTTGAAGAAACACTGACACTGTCATGGCTGCTCATTAACAGGACTGGGCAGGATGTTTCACATTACAAGAGTCAGATTTTGTCTCACTGATGCTGAAACTCTGTTTTACAGTCACACAGTAGATACTCAAGACATGAGATGAGAAAAGGTGGAGCGTTATGGCAATAAATAAATCATCCTGCCAAACTTTTTTTTCCCACTTTAATTACTTATTTGTTTATTGAACAACAAACACAAGTTTAATACAACGCACATCATCAGCAAGGTGATTATGAAATCCTGCAGGTTACCGCAAACCTAATAAAATCAATCAGGCGTTTCCTTTGAATTTTACATATTTCTTTCTTAAGGAAGAGGGAATAAAAACTCATCAACTTACAATGACACAGATGAAGGTGGTAGGGGTTTACTATCTTTCCAACACAGTGCATCACATTTATTAACTGTCGTTTTCACTATTCACTAGAGTTTAAGCTCTGATGATGTGGTAGAAAATGTGTATTCTGTGAAACCATAATGTTTTGGGTGCTAGGAAATCATTATTTCCATCTGGTTTTGGAGGAACTTTGACCCAGATAGCCAATACATTATAATTACTTGGAACAGAACATTTACAGTATTTTCAGTTGACTTTAGCAACAACTAATGTGTCTTTGGTTTCATTCTTTACTGTTCATTTTTTGTTCAGATGGCAGAGAAGCAAAAACGGAGGTGAATTCTGAAGCTGAGTCCTCACCGGGAACTAGACAAGGTGAGATTTTAAATAGTAACTATGAAAGTAATACACATTAATACACAGGAAAAAAAGACTCCAGTAAATATATTGGAATTAAAGGTCCCATATTTTACACTTCTCCTGTGATTTATTTGAAGTGTCGTGTGCATTTCTCTGTGGACTGAGCTCTTTGATACTTTCACAGTATTATTATAGAAAAAAAACATGGAAATCTCATTTTATTCAGTATGGGACCTTTAAGTGTAAATGCAGTTATGATGGGACTGGAACTCTATTCTAACATTACAGAATATAACCATGATTCCTTATGTCAGTTTAAGTTCATTATTCCACAACTGGTCAGTAATTGTGTAAGTTTAGATTGATTGGAGTAATGATTTTACGTGTCAAAGCATTTGCTTTTATCTAAAAAATGACTGTTTTTGCCTCTGTAGTGTTGTTACTCTGGAGATGTGTGGTCAGTTTTATCTTTTCTACTCCCGTCTAGACAGTGCAGAGGATTGTACCACAACGAACATGACAGAATCCACAAACACTGACGGCCAAAGCACACAGGAAGCAGAGGTCAAGAGGAAAGGGAGGATGTTCATATGTGATGTCTGCAACAAAAGCTTCAGTCGTCACTTCCATCTGATGAAGCACATGAACACTCACAAAGAACAGAGGCCTTTTGCCTGCAACCAGTGTCCGAGAAAATTTAGGAACACAGCAACTTATGAGTACCACCTGCTGCGCCACGAGGAGAAGAAGTACGCTACCTTCAAGTGCCAGCTCTGTGAGAAGACGTTCAAAACAAAAATGCACCTGAAGACTCATCAGCTCGTGCACACAGACACGAGGCCGTTCATCTGCTCCAGCTGTGGGAAGGGTTTCAAAACTCAACACAACCTGCGGGCGCATCAGGTCGTCCACACCACTGAAAAACCACACAAATGCTCAGAGTGCGGTGAAAGTTTCAGGTACGCCTTCACCCTGAAGTGCCATAAAAGCATTCATACTGGAGAACATCCTTACAAATGCACGGAGTGCGGCAAGGCTTTTGTGAAGAGGAGATCGCTGAGGGCGCACCAGTCGGTCCACAGAGGGAAGATGTTTACATGTGAGACATGCGGAGCAGGTTTCACCCTTCAACACAACCTGAAGAGACACATTCGTATTCACACTGGTGAAAAACCGTTCAAATGTAAAGTCTGCGGGAAGAGTTTCATTCAAGACAACAAGCTGAAAGCACACATGCTCCTTCACGGTGCTTCCAAGTCGTTCATGTGCGACATGTGTGGAAAGACTTTTCTGTACAACTGCCAGCTGCAGAAACACCAGAAAGTTACTCACGATGAAAGACAAGGGCAGGTCATTAGAAGACGAAGTCGGGAGCGAGGTAACCGCAGAGTTATCTATCGACGGGACAGAACGACAGTCGATGTGACGCCTTTCAGCTGCAAGACCTGCCGCAAGGGCTTCGACACGGCGAGTTCACTGAATAGACACGAGCTGATCCACACAGGTCAGACACCATACAACTGCCACACATGTGGGAAGTCTTTTTTCTACAAAGCCACGTACGACTACCATCAGCGGAATCACTCAGGGGAACGACCATTTGGTTGTGACATATGTGGGAAGAGGTTCATCATCCGTCAGGCTCTCAAGTCCCACGAACTGCAGCACTCAGGAGAGAAACCACATAAATGTGAACAGTGTGGCAAGGCCTTCAGGATCTACACAAACTACCTCAGACACTTGCGGATCCACACAGGGGAGAAGCCGTATGAGTGTGAAGTGTGCGGAGTGAGGTTCAGGCAGTTGGGACACGTTAAGTTTCACATGCAGGTCCACACAGGAGAAAGACCATATTCTTGCAGCAGCTGTGGACTTGGATTTTCAGATTCAAGGCTGCTCAAGAGACACAACTGTACTGAGAAATATCAGAAAATGTTAGGGAACACACTCCAAACAGCGTGAAACTAAGCATTATTTCATCCACAGTGCTGCACTGCAGTGAGAGACTTACCTCATAAGA